GCCTGTTCTGCTCCCCACTCTGTCTCTGGTGAATCCTCTCACCCACCACACCTCTGGCCTGTACCCCAGTTCTGTAAGCATAAATAAATAAATCTTGAGAGAAAAAATATAGGATAAAGACAAAAAGTATTACTTTTGTCATGGAACTAATAATAACCAATGCCAATGGATACTCTGGAGACCAAAGAGACTTTAAAGATCATTGGGTCTAAACCCTTTATTTTACAGAAAAGGAAACAAAGGTAAAACTATGAATGTATGGTCTTAAGACAAATCTAACATGCCACAATATACACATAGTAGTTTTAATGTGAAAGTAATGCTTTCCTCAAAAATTATAAAATAAAATTGACACTCCAGAAAAATGGGTCTAATTTTTTCTATCACTTATTCCTGGGGATATGCAATTTGAGAAACATAACACAAGACAGCCTATTGATTAGATTAGAAAGTAGTAAAAGGACAATAACTGACTACTGATAATGCACTATGTTACAACCTTCCTAAAATACAAATAAACCTGATATTTGCTTTTGGCGTCCAACAGGAGACAATAAGAACCAGTATTGAAAAGTGAGATAACCATTCATTGTTTCTTCCCTGCAAATGACAACAGAAACCCTAACCATATTACATAAAGGCTCTGATCTACTTGATACATGTACTCTAGCAGTAGAAAATAAAGGAAAGTCTTTGTTTCTGCACAGTAGGAAATTGCCTAATCTAGAGGGGCATATGCAAATTAAAATGCATGAAAATAGTACAAAAAATGGTAAGGAGAAATTAGAAATTATACTATTTTAAGGTTTTTCCCAGGATATATGAAGTTGTGTGGTACTTTTAACGGAATACTGTGATAAATTAAAGACGTATACTGTAAAAGAAAAAAAGGAAGAAAGAAATAGACTAATCTTAATCTGATTTCTCAAGTAGGTTTCTCTATTTAAGGAGAAGCAGAAACAATTTAGGTGTTCCAATCCATTTGGCATTTCTATTTCTCAAAGCAAATAAGTAAGAAAGCATTGTAATTTATATGCTGACATCTTGTGAATTTTGTTGTTATGAGTTTGTCATGTTTGAGAAACTAATAAGTCCAAGTTTCAGAAATAGCAAAGTTAAGGAATAGTAATATGATCAAACTATAGCCACCTGATAAAAATCCTTCCAATAATACCCAACCTTATCCTTCTATTACGTGATATCTTTACGATTAAGCAAAACAAGGATGCATTTTCCAGATGTGAATATATAATCTGGCTAATTATGCTTTATTAAAGTGGTAACCTTAAATACAAGGTACACTGTAAAAACAACTTCCCCACATCACCTCACATAATGAATATAGAACTCTAGGTTTAAGAGTGAGTACATCCACCCCAATGGCGTCCACAGGGAAGATTTATGCAAGGAAACCGTCAAGTTACCTTAAAAGAAGGCTTAACGTGACACCACTGAAAAATGGTACCAATCAAATCTAGTCTGTAAGTCAGTTTATATTTGCCTCCCATGTATTATTGTGCATTCAAAAGGAACACATGCATTACAAATTGCAATATTTTATTTTACATTCAAAAAGAACCACTTGATTATCTTAAAGAAAAAAGAAAAATATCACTGTATGTTAGGCTCTATTTATTCTGAACGCCAAAACTTAATCACTTACCTCTGTTAGCACATCAGCCAGATCAGCATGAACTTTAGTTCGTAGAGATGTTCTAGCCACATCTAAGAGGATTTCTCTTTTCATCTCTGTTTCAATTTTAACTTCTTCCAAAACTTCAAGTGCTTTAACCTTTGCTGCTTCAAATCCTTCAGCTATTATTCTAGGGTGCAGGCCCTATTACATCAACATAAAGCTATAAATTATAAAGTACATCATCAAAAGTAAAAGCAACTGTCCTCTTCTATAAATAGGCATGCCCCATACAGGTAATAATAGCTACATTGATGCCACTAAATGTATTATGCAATTTTTTTAAAGATTTATTTATTTATGCATACATAACTGGGGTACAGGCCAGAGGTATAGAGGTGTAGGTGAGAGGATTCATCAGAAACAGAGCGAGGAACAGAACAGGCATATCGAAGAAACACACTGCTGAGGGGAGCAGCGGGTGGGTCAGGAGAGGTCTGCCGCGCCTTGTGGTCACCTCCCGGGCAGGCGGGGATCGAACTCTTGCTGTAGTAGCCTTAGTTTCTTAGTGCTGTGCTTTAACCTGCTGAGCCACCAGGGAGGGCCCTGTATTATGTAATTTATAAAAGTCATTTTGCAGTGCTTCATTTTATTTTCTCAAGTTTTAGGTGATTTTATGTTTCTCCTCAGGGTTTTGCAAATCATTTCAAAGATTGGAAGATTATAATATGAATAATTGCAAAGATTTAAATTTCAAATCTCACTCCTCTCCCACTTCAAAATGAAAGGTTTCTGGCTTTTCATTTTTCTTCCATGTCTTTACTTCCCTATATACAGAGAATATAATTATTTTGTGAGGAAAAAAATTTCATGTCTTGATAGCAATGTTTAAACTCCTAAATTGCTATGTTAGACCTAAAAAAGTCATTTCAAAGCAATACATGAATTTCACAATTTCCATAAAGTATTCTTCATGTTAACATTTCTGAATTGTTTCCTTTTATTTATATCTCAAGCTTACAACAGTTTAGAACATTAAATTTCTTGTCTATTTAAGATGCTCCTTGAAGATGAAAGCCCTGATCTTACAGGATAGAATTTGGCACTTTACTGACCTTTTTTTGTTGTTGTTGTTGTTCATTTTCAAACTTACAGGAAAATTCTCATTTTCAAACTTACAAAAACTACAAAAGTGCTTTTAACTTCTAAAAATTGTGATGTGTTATTGTCAAGTGGTGCCCTTCTAATGGGCACAAAAGACTTTTAATGCTAAGGGGAAAGTCCAGTACAGATTTTTGAGAAAAAACAGACACCACCTTCACCAAATGCTCAAAGTTAATATCACAGTAATGGGACAGATAGACATCACATGCCCCCTGACAAGCTGTACTAAGAACACAATAGAACTTCTCTGGTATTCCTGCCAAAAGTTCATAACTTGTGTAATCAGGAGGAAACTGACAAACCCAAATTGAGGATCTTTCTACAAAATAATTGGCCTATGCTCTATTAGCAGCAATGTCATAAAACACAAAAGATGGCTCAGGAACAATCCCAGCTTAAAGGAGACTAAAGGAACAGTACATGAAACTACATTTTCTTCTATTATAGGACACTTGGATCAAATGATGACATTTGAATAAAATCTGAAAATTACATAATCGTACTTTATCAATGTGTCAATGTTAATATGAATTTCCTTGTTTTGATCATCAAGCCGTGGTTATATGAAAGAATTCTCTGATTTTAAAAACTATACATTGTGGGCCCTCCCTGGTGGCTCAACAGGTTAGGATGCAGCACTGCAAGGTAGCCACGGCCACTTCACTGAAAGTTTGGTCCTTGGTCCCAGAGTTGACCCACATGGCACAGCAAACCACTCCTGACCCGCCCACTGCTCCCCACAGCAGTGTACTTCAATGATCTGCCTGCTCTGCCACTCACTATGTCTCTGGTGAATCCTCTTACCATCCTGCACCTCAGGCCTGTACCCCAGTTCTCTATGCATAATCTTAAAAAAAAATACACACTGAAATATTTTTATCATCATGCCCATCATTCCATTCACTAAAAATTACTACATATGTACATTATGTATATACATATATATCTCTGGAAAAGAAATGCTATTCTTTGGAAAATTCCTGCAGCTTTTCTGTGGCTCTCATATAATAACAAAATAACTTTTTCAAATCAGTATCATTTATTCTAAAATGTACACATTTATTGGAAGTTAGAGCTAGGTCTCATTTATTACCTTCTTTCATTTCTTCACATCAATCTGATAGTAATTTTTAAAAGTTGACATTTACTGAGCATTTGTGCCAGACACTATTCTAAATGGCTTTACATATATTATCTAACTTAGCCCTCTCAATACCATAAAGTAGGTGTTGTTATTATTGCTTTTTTTTTACAGAAGAAGAAATTGAGGCTTAAAAGGAAAATATAATTTGCCTTAGATAAACTGACTGGCAAGATTTAACCCTGTAAGACGTGACTCCTGTGTTAATGTAAGACATAGCCTGTGTTAATTATCATTTTAAAAACACTTCTTCATTCTAGGACCTCACAATTTCTCACCTGGAGTACTCTCAGAACCTTCTGCCTTGAATCTCTCAAAATTGTTTCCCAAATATTTAAAATGCATATCTGACCACACTATTCATTAATGTATTCAGATTTTTGCATAATACACTATATGCCTTTCATGATGTGGTTACCAACTACTTACTTCTCAGACTAATCACTGCTGTCTGCACCACTTTACACAATGCCAGCAACCGAACTACTTATAGCTCAACATACTTTTGATGTTGCTTCTCCTCCTCTGTGCCTCTATTCATGCTGTTTCTTCTAACTGCAATGCCATTTTCCTATTCCTCTCTTGTCTAGCTTACTTCTCCTCATCTTAGATTTAGTCTGGGTCTTATTTCCTCCAGAAAGACTAGTTTAGGATACCCACTTTTCTTAGTGTTTCTGCAATACCTACTCCACAGTTTCATATTTCTGTTAACATTTGTAGCATCTCTCCCTTCCTGAATTTCTTTCTTCTTAATCCACCCCTAATTTTGTTTAAATATTTCTCTTCCTCCAGTGTTTCAAAAGAAGCTGACCCTAAACCTAGTTTAAGAGTTGAATCCTAGTAGATTAAGTCAGTTCCTCTAAAAACTCTTAATGAGCTGGGATGGGCTAAGACTAAGGTTGGCCCAATCATTTAAAGAAAGAATTTAGATTTCATAGATGGGTGAATGGTTTTTTCAATTGCTGTCCTGCCAAGCATTTTGAAGGGAAGCAGAGAGACTTCTCACAGAAGTAGAACCTTACATTCAGGATGGAACTAAAAACTTAAGTGGAAGAGGTGAGAGACAGATAGTATATGAACACCTGATGAGAGTGAATTTTCTAATCACCCAAGCCTGGAAACACATCTTTTCTGTGTTCAATTATGTGAGATAATTTTTTAATTGTTAAGTGACTTTTAGCTGAGTTTTTACTGTTTACAGCCAAAAGCATCCTAAGAGAAGTTATTAAACAGATAACTCCCAGTACTAAATGAAATACATAGTAAAATTTTATAAGAAAATATAAAACTAGGAAGGGCGGTAAATTCACAATGTGGAAAAGCTTTGATAGTTCTTTATTTGAAGATGCATAATTTAGGGGTCTCTGGTGGCACAGGTAAAGGCACCATCAAGCTATTGCCAGCCAAAGCAGCATGGGTTCAATTACCAGACAGCCAGGAAGAGAACCCACATGGCCTCTCCTGTCTCACCTTCTGCACCCCTCAGCAGTGTATTTCAGTAGATCTTCCTTTTCTGCTCCCCACTCTCTCTAGTGAACACTCTCTCTCTCACACACACATACATACACACACACACCACCCACACATCTCCAGCCTCTACCCCAGTTCTTATATGCATAAATAAATAAACCTTTTTTTAAAAGGTGCATAATTTAATGTCAACTTTATCAGAGATGTTTTCTTTCTTATACCATTACTCAGGGCTACCAGGGTAACTTTTCTAATCTTAAATATTTCATTTTTAAAAAGAGAAATAATTTCAATAATAGGCTTATTTTAGCAAAAGAAGTTCATTTTTTCCTCTATAATTGTCAAAATATATATTGATAAAAATTAACTTTTACCCTTTAATATAAACCAGTTTACCAGTTAAAAAAAAAAAGGCTTTCAAACAAGACTTGCCATTCAAAACAAGTATCACATAAGTGTGAATTCCGTGAAATTCTAATACCTCAGAAATGTAAAGGTCAGCTTGTTTTAGTAACTCTCCAATAATTAGAACATTTGAAGTAGTTCCATCTCCTGTAATATCATCCTGAGCTGTTGCCACTTTTGCTATCAAGGAAGCTGTTGGGTGTTGAATTTGCTGGGGAAAATAAGCAACAGATTAAAAAGAGAGAGAAAGTGAGATAAAGAAATAGTCTACCCAAAACAAGATGACCTAAGGGTCATTTGTAAAATTAAGAAATGAAATGGGCTTCATTCTACAAGTTCACAAGTTTTGTATTATCAGTACTAAATAAATGTTAAGACCAACATTTAATAACTGAGAATTAATGAGGTTTGAACATTTTACAATAGCATTTGCTTCAAAATGTAATGACATTTCCAAAATAAGATTAAATCTCAAATATTTACTAAAATTGCAAAAGATTTTTATATTTTCCCATGATTACAAAGAACATAACAGTATATCTTTAAAAGATATAATTAGTTTGCAAAGGTCCCTAAACTACTACTTGGATTATATACAAAGATTTGAAAACATTTTGTTGACGTTTAATCCAACAAATATATGCCGTGACTGCAGTATTTAGGCTGACAGCCTTGGTTTAAAGATATTGTTACTGTAACAGGGCCTTCCCTGGTGGCACAATGGGTTAAACCACAACACTGTGGAGTTATCTGCAGTGGATGCAGTTTGAGTTCCATCCCCAGCCAGGGAGCCCGCATGGGCATAGGCATGGGTATGGGTATGGCATGCCAGACCTCTCCTGACCTGCCCACTGCTCCCCTCAGCAGCGTATATCAGTGGGTATCAGTGGGTCTGCCTGTTTTGTTCTCCACTCTCCTCGCACCTTGGCCTGTACCCCAGTTCTTATATGTATAAATAAATACATTAAAAAAGATACTGTAACAAATTGTACAATGTTCTTAATTAAGCCTCATCTAGGTGTATTCAAGTCAGCAACATCGCTCACCATTTCATGGAGTAGCACATTGCCGTCTTTGGTGAGTTTGATATCACCTGCACCAGATACAAGCCTGTTCAGGAAACAGTGATCTTATTAAGCTCATGTGGCAGGAATCAAGGAAGACACTCCTGTACTTACTCCACTATCCTTATTTAATAAGAGAACGATGCTCTGAAAATGTCCGTCCCCACTTACCCCTTACCAATGGGGAGATAACATCATAATTAATTACCATTTGCAGCCCACATAATAACTTTTCCCTAGATGGACTGATGTGGCAAATTCATTCTAAATGAAGTATCTACACATTTAAGATCAGAGCAGTTAATGAGTAATAACCAGTGGTTTGGTCAAAGAATAATCCAATTCTATAAACCACAATTTTGTTAATTTGCTTCAGGTTTTTATCCTGGTGAAATGTTAACACTCGTTCACACAACTTAGTTCATCCCTGTATTTGATGGTCTAATGGTCAAGTAATGGTTCTTGAATCTACCCTCTCCCTTCATTTTCACTGTCATCAGCATTTCTAGTACGGACTACTAAGCCCTCTCTGGAGCTGAATCTACCCTCCACACTCAATTTCTCTCTCAGTTCCCGATCAAAAATCTTTCAAAGGTTTTTATGTTGTCATCACTGTCAAGGTAAAATTATCATCCCAACTCCCCCACCATCTCCCCCTCAAACCCCCCCTCCCCCCCCCACAAACACACACAATAGCACGTTCATCTGTACTAGATCTAAACTGTATCTAGGTCTTCTGAGTTTAAGCAGCATACCTAGTACAATACACTCTTGTACTGTTAATACTACTTTGCTCACTCCTGAGACAGTACCTATGCCATCTCTATTCTGACATCCTTTTTCATCCTCATCTCTTTCCCTCGCCCTCTTCAGAAGAGCACAACGGTGCTAAGTAAAATCTATGTTGAAAGGACAAACTGTAAGAAACGCAGGCAGAGAGCATTCGAGTAACTTGCCGAAATACCTACAGCTACATCTTGGGTTTGAATCCGTACCTGCCAGGCTCCACTGCTTTTACCCTTCCCAATACAGCACACTTTCAAACAAAAATTAAATTAAGGGCACATGCAGGGGAGTCAAATGGCTTGTGTTTCTTAGGAGACACTGAATGAACTAACTTAAATGACCCCTAGCAAAAAAAAGCAGGGATAGAGGAGGTGCCACAGCTTCACTTGTAAGGTTCTTTGCTCATTCTCCCCCGCCAAGCTAGAGATGACCTCAGGGCAAGAATGAGAAAGAGGGCATCCAGACCCAGAAGTGCGTCCACATCGCTCCAATCTATTTGCGGAATCTGTACAGAGCGCGCCCAAACAACAACAAACACCCGGCGCCCTAACAGCCATTCCAACCGCCTTCTCACATTTTCATGGTGCCCTTAGGACCCAAATTGGTCCGCAATACATTCTGCAGCCCTCGGGCGGCGCATATATTGATAGCCAAGGCCGCCTGGGCCCGCGCCACCTCAGCCTTGGAGTTAGCCGCTTTGATCGCGGCCATAGCAGGAGGGCAGCAAGCGCGGACCGCAGCCAAATACAGCCTCAGTCGCAGTTCTAAAAGAAACCGGTCGCCGAGGCGCACGCTCCTGAGTATCAGCCAATCATCGTTAGGACAGGAAGTGACGTGATTGGACATCGACACGACGGGAGCCAGAAACGCCTTGGGTCTGGCCTCAAAGATGGCGTCCTCCGCCTCTGCTCGGGCATCAGCGGGGAAGAGAGGAGTGAATCAGGATGAACTCCGGCGGTTAATGAAGGAGAAGCAGCGTTTGAGCACCAATCGGAAACGGATAGAATCTCCATTCGCCAAGTACAACCGTTTGGGGCATCTGAGTTGTGCCCTTTGTAACGCGCCGGTTAAGAACGAGCTCCTGTGGCAGACGCACGTCCTGGGAAAGCAACATCGGGAGAAACTGGCCGAGTTGAAAGGCGCAAAGGAAGCCATCCAAGGTCGCTCCGCTAGCGCAAGGCCTCAGTACGTCAAGAGGAAGGCTCCCGACGCAGACAGCCAAGATGCCAAAAAAGCAAAGGCCTGTCCGGTGCCCCAGGTACAGCCCTCCACATCCGGTTTGTCCAACTTTGACAAAGCGGGAAAGGACTCCACAAAAGCGACCCTCAACAAGCCTTCGGCTCTGGGTTTACTCCCTGATTATGATGAGGAGGAGGAAGAAGAGGAGGAGGGAGGAGAAGGAAAAAAGGGGGAAGCGAGCAAATTGCCAACCGATCCACAGGGCAAGGAACACTCAGTTTCCTCGCGCGAGGCAACAAATAATAAACTGCCAAGCGACTTCTTGGATACAAATCCTCCTAAGGCCCCTTTAATTCCTCACTCGGGGTCAATAGAGAAAGCAGAAATACACGAAAAAATCGTGGAGAGGAAAGAAAACACCGCGGAAGCATTGCCGGAAGGTTTTTTTGATGACCCTGAGATAGATGCGAGGGTACGAAAGGTTGATGCCCCCAAGGATCAGATGGACAAAGAGTGGGACGAATTTCAGAAAGCTATGAGACAAGTCAACACTATCTCCGAAGCCATAGTTGCTGAAGAAGATGAGGAGGGACGGTTGGACCGGCAGATTGGGGAGATTGATGAGCAGATAGAGTGTTACCGGCGAGTTGAAAAGCTGCGGAATCGTCAGGATGAAATAAAAAATAAACTTAAAGAGGTTCTAACCATTAAAGAACTGCAGAAAAAGGAAGAGGAGAATGTTGACAGTGATGATGAGGGAGAACTACAGGATTTGTTGTCTCAGGATTGGCGGGTGAAAGGGGCTTTGTTATAGTGTTAAAAAAGTGTTCTCTTAATATGATTACTACATACCTGGCATTTGTTAACCTATCTGGGTTGTTGAAATACAATGAGCCTGTAAGGGACTGCAGTTTGGAAATTTCTGAGGTAATGTTTTGGAAATTTTTGAAATCTTATATACTGAAACACCAATTTTTTGTTTTTTACATATTTACAGATTTGAGTGTATAATTTTGAGTTGTAAAGTTTGCAAGCTATAAATGTTGTACAAAGTTAAATATATATTTACTTAAGTAAGTTTGTTTTGAAATTTATTATATATACATAGAAGTCAGACCAAGAGACAAGCTTTTTAGATGAATACCAAGTGTACTGTGGGGATATTTATGGCTTTTTCCTTTTCAGAATGTCCTAGATCAAACCCAAAGGGTTTGAGATACTTTTTGTGGGTTGGGGTTTTGTTAAGGGCACTTCTCATAAGCATCTAAGTCAGTCTGAGCTAATCAGCTAGGTAACTGGGTATTTGGTTTCAAAAACAGGCTTTCTGGGGGGAAAAAAGATGTGCAAATATGACTGGCTTCCTTACTCCAGAGTTTCTCTTGGTTAAACTGGTGATTCTCAGGTATAGGTGCTAATGGAGATCACCTATGAAACATTCAAAAATGTCCACCTGAAATCACTTAAGAATCTTTTAAGAAAATGAGCCCTGTCAATAGAAAGATTCAGTAAATCTGTAGTTGTCCCTAGGCATCTGTATTTTGAAAGCTTCCCAGGTTATTCTAATATGTATGTATCAAAGTTGAGGAGCTGCTGCCCTAAATCCATTTGGTATTTTTCATGTTTTTTGTCTTTAAATTATATACTCCATATGCTTATTGTCTGTCTTGTATAAAATATACTTTTATTTATCCCAGCCAGTCAAGTTTTACAACATTCTATGGTAAGTTAGGGGTTTATAGTTACAAGTTCTACTTATTGTAGGAAGGTTAAGTTTTCTGTTCTCAGCAGTAACGACTGACGTGTGCCCATCCTTTGTCATTTTAAGTCACTACTTCTCCCTTGGAAATAGAGGTATCCAAAAAGGAAAAAGGAGAGCAAAGTGTTTAAGGGGTAGAAATGCATACAGCATATTCAAATAAAAGTGATCAGTAGTAATAGCTGAAACTTAAAAGTAGTTCTTACAGTATAGGCAGGTAGGGTTCTAAGTGTTTTATGGAAATTGAGTCCAGTTTCTCTAAAGCTCAGGTTTTATGCAGGAGAGACACAAAGTATGTAAAAGCCTTGATTGCTAGATGAAAGAATTCCTGAAGGCAATGTGAGAAAAATGTGAGATTAAATTACATTAAATAGAATGGAATGAACAAGAGAGGAGAAAAAAGTGGGGAGACTTAATTGGAAACTTTTTTTTTAAAAGCCTGGTCACTTATGGATTAAGTAAGTAGATATGGATTAAGAAAAAATGAATAAGCAATGTCACAGAAAGAGCAAACAGTTTAGAATGGAAGAAGAAAAACTGAATTCCAAAAAAGATGGAATTCAAGGAGTTGGGGTTTTTAATTGCCAATAGACAAAAAGTCATCTAAGACTTTGAGTGATTGCCTATTCTGCTCCTTTGGCACAATGTCTTTTCCTTCCTGATCTACCATTGGAAATAGTTACTCCGTTTGGTAATGTAGAGGACATTCCTTCCTCAAATATATAAATGCATACTTTTTTTTTTAATCATTATTTTATTATCTCAAAATGTGAGAAGGTACGAAGGTAGGCTTGAATGTGAGCCCAGTTTTACAATGGCCTAAGATGCTACGCTAATGATCTCAAGGAGCACTGTTCATTTAAAATACAGTGCAAGCCAGCCCTCCTTGGTGGCGCAGCGGGTTAAAACACAGCACTGAGAAGCTAAAGCCACTTCAGCATGAGTTCGATCCCCACCCCGGAGGTGACCTACATGGCATGGCAGGCCTCTCCTGGCCTGCCAACTGCTCCCCCTCAGCAGTGTACTTCATCAGTCTGCCTGTTCTCCCCACTCTGTCTGGTGAATCCTCTCACCGCCCCTGTGCCTCTGGCCTGTACCCCAGTTCTGTGTGCATAAAGAAATAAATCTTTAAAAAAAAATACAGTGCAAGCTATATAAATATTTTAAATGTTCTAATAGGCACATGAAAAAAGTAAAAAGAAATGTGAAATGAGTTATAATGTATTTTACTAAATCTAGTATTTCCCAAATATTAATGTCTTAACATGCAATCTGTTTAAACTATTTTTGGGGTTCCACATTTTTAAATCTTGGTTGTATGTAACATCACATCTTAGTTTGGATTGGCTATATTTCAACCAGTCACTAGTCTTATGTGATTAATGGCAATCATAAAGGATAGAGCACAGTTAAAAAGAAAGATATGCAAGTGATAAAATAAAACCTGTTCAGGAGGTAGTGAGCAGACCAGCCTATCTAGAGTGTTCATTCCTGACAACAGTGATTGAAAAGGTAGATGGTGAACCATTCTGGAGTGTTTTGAATGCTCTAAGGGTTCAAGCTGTCTGTAAATTCTGGTATCCTCGAGGTTGTTAAGTCCTTAATGGTATCATTGCTAAAGAACTTAAGGAATGACTGGTATGTATTGCTACAAATAGAAAGCTTTCATTGGCCAAAAAATCTTCAAAATCAACTCCTGCTCCTCTGAACCCCAAAGCATGAGGGATGCCACTCTCACCACAGCTCAGTGAATCCTTGAATCCGAGATTGATCGAGTTATAGGGGCTAGTGGACATGTCCTGATCTTATATTGGAAAGCTGTTTTATGCCTCTTTGAACTGAATCAAATTGGTTTTGACAGATGACTAAAGTTTTGTTACTTTTTACCTAAAGTTTTGCCCAGAATAGTTCTAGTTTAACTTTGACTCTCCCTTGCACTCTCAAATGTTCTTTTTTGGAAAGATATTTACATGAAAGTTTGATGTGAAGGAAGACCAATTTCTAATACAAAATGAAATTTCCAGGTATTGATACACCAGTTGACTACTGTGTTGAGTAAATTTCCCTAAGTTTTCTATTTAGGGATGGGAGCTAGATAGATGACTTTAGATTGCTTTTTAATTCTAAGAACCCAGTAGCCTGAATGATAATAAGTTAGATGCTTTCAGTTCAGAAAGGAAAAAAAAGTCCTTTAACTTGCTATCTATTTTCTTTCTACACTTCCTCTTCAATGATCTCATTCATTCCTGTGGGCTTAAATATCAACATCTATGTTGATTCCCAATTTACAGCCCCAGTCTTGACCTTTCTCTTTAGAGTCATCCTGTATTACATCCTGCATTTATCCCCCAAATCTAAATTATTAAGTCCTGGCAGCTGTACATTTAAAATATGCCCACTCATTCTAGCCACCGACATCTCTTGCATTAATTGTTGCCTATTCCATTGGCCCCTACTTTAGCCATAATCTATTATCAACAAAACTGATCTTTTAAAAATTTGGATCAAGTCACTGGTTGCTTAAAACTGGTCATTGTAGGCTTCCACCATACTGATGGGAAAACTTATAATAGTGCTCAGTGGCTGCTAATTCCAGTGTCTGCTACTTCTGAACTGATGTCCATAAGCCCCTTTAAAGGGAATTTGAGGGCCAGGAGAGCATACTGCTCCATGTGGAAATTAATTGGTAGCGATCAGGAATTCTAACCTGACCTGGTCACATTTTTAATTTTTAGGAGAAATTTTAAATACTTTGTGGATTAATATAATCTATAGGCCCCCACGTTGGAACTCTTCTGCTCCTTTATCCTCTATGTCCTGGTTCTCACTTGCTAACTTTCTGTTCCTCAAACATGCCATTTTCCGCCCGAGTAGGCCTTGTATTTCCCACTGCTTAAAACCTGTCTTCAAATAACTAGGAAATTTTCTCATTCAGTTCTCAGCTTTAATGTCGTGTTCTCAGATGGTAATTGTCATCCCCCCACCTCTCTATGAATTTATTAAGCTTATTTCTATCTTAAATTGGCTTGCTTATCTTTACATGAAGTATGTTTCTCCCCCCCAGAATATAACCTCCACAAGGGCAAGGAGCTTATCTATTCACAAGCAAAAATAATCAAAGACATAATAGGGCTTGATAAATATCTGTTAAACAGGCCCTCCCTGGTGGCGCAGCGGGTTAAAGCACAGCACTGAGAATCTGAAGCCACTTCCTCATGAGTTCGATTCCTGCCTCCAGCCTGCCCCGGAGGAGACCACATGGCGAGCCAGACCTCTCCTGGCCCGCCCGCTGCTTCCCTCAGCAGTGTACTTCGTAGATCTGCCTATTCTGCTCCCCACTCTGTCTCTGGTGAAGCCTCTCACCGCCCCTGAGCCTCTGGCCTGTACCCCAGTTCTGTATGCACAAATAAATAAATAAATCTTTAAAAAAAATATCTGTTAAACAAGTAAGTTGCTCAAAATATAAAATAGTGTGCATTCCTGGTAACCTAGGGAGTTTAAGTCTCAGTGCTATCACTGCTATGGCTTGAGTTTGATCCCAGACCAGGGAGCTGAACTGCATCTGGCACAGCAGACCTCTCCTGTGCTCCCCTTAACAGTGTATTTTAGTAAATCCTCCTGTTCTGTTCCCCTGTTCTGTTCCCTACTCTGTCTCTGGTGAATCTTCTCACCCACCCGCACCTCTGGCCTGCACTCTAGTTCACCGATGCAAAAGTAATTTTTTTAAAAAAATGGTAAAATACCCAGCTGGCTTACAGGAGACAGAGCCAGAACAAAAGCTCAATAGCTTAAGCAGATACATCTTTTCTGCTTGTGTCTCCTTTCTCTGGCACATGAAATCCTTGCCTATTCTGAGATTAGTAGCGCCGGAAGATAGTCACAAAAGTCTAGAGAGTAAGGGGCATCCTCCACATTTAGCAGCTAATAATTCCTCATAACACTAAACAAGCAAAGAAGTATGTCCATATGTCAACTGGAGCTAGTGGGCAACCCTGATTGCCCAGAGGCCTTTTAAGTGGAGAAAAGGAATAAAGTGATTCAGTAACAGCAAGATCAAAGAGTCATAAGTACACATCACCTCCCAGATGCCCTCAGCCCTCAGTCCCCACCTCCTGCCATCACCATTTCACTTGGCTCACACCTCCTGTCACTTGGCAGTCAAAGCTATTTCAGAATCAGTCTTTGCACACAGCCACCTTCATTGAAATCACGCCCAGTATCTCAGAGGAGAAAAGGAGTTCCAGCTGGCTGCACCTCCATTTTGCTAATAGCATTTGGCGGGCTTCAAGTGCACTTGGGAGCCAGCGGTCACTTTTGGGGAAATCTGGAGAATCAGGTTGATTGGGTGGTTGATGATGATGGTGTGTGTGTGTGTGTTGGTTGGTTGTTGTTTTGCTAAATGTGCTTATAATAGAATATTAACTAAGCCAGGTTATCAGGTTATTTTTAATAATAGCTATCATTTACTGAATACTATGCTAGGGCTTGACATATACCATGTCTAATCCTCACACCAACCCAGTAAAGTATATAATGTCTTCATTTTACAGATGCAGAAACTCATGCTCAAGAAAAAATCAATGTGCTCAAGGCAACAATCTCAAAGTCCTTGTCCTTGCTCTTTCCCTGCATTATTATTAAACATATATTTGCATAATGAGTATTTTTTAATCAACATTCTCATCTGTTTTCTTCATCTCAACACCCCTAGAGAAGTAAGACAATGAACATCATCTCCATTTTAGACACCTAATGACTTATCTGAGGTCATTATTTGGTAAGGTCAACTTATTTGCTAAAGTGAAACTAGAAGTAACATGATTCCTGGTCCAGCATATGTACAATTTTTTAACGTCCAGATGGAGAAAAATGGGAGGGAGTCCCCTCCAATAGCAAGAATTAAGATTAGAGAATTTTACTGTCAGTGAAGGGAACTGAGTGCTGTTCAAAGACCTTGACAGGGTTGGGAAGCCATATTTCTTGAAGTTATTAGAGTCTTTCCACACTGCCCTGCATTCCCCACCTTTTACCAACAATAAATGTTGACTCAGGCCTCCCTGGTGACTACGGGTTAAGTTTCAGCACTATCATTCCTATGACCTGAGTTTGATCCCCACATGACACAGCAGACCTCTCCTGTCTCTCCTGCTGCTCCCCTCAGCAGTGTATTTCAGTCAGTCTTCCTGTTCTGCTCCTCACTTTGTCTCTAGTGAATCCTCTCACCCCTTGCATTTCCGACCTCTACCCCAGTTCTTCTACACATAAATAAATAGTTAGTCCTTACTGGTTTCTGATGGGAGCGAGAACAATGACTTCAGTTCTGATAATCCGTTCAGCTGGGAAACAATAGTTAATAGTCTATCACTTTCTCTCTTTTCTTTTTTAGTCTATCACTTTCTAACAGTATGTCCTGAGGTCATTCCTTCACCCCCAGTTTCAACTATAAAGCTGGGAGAGTAATAATTTCTACTGAAAGGATTAAATCAATTAAGTACATGTAAGTACTTCTATTATAGCATGTGGCTTTAATCACTGTTAGCTTTTAAAAAACAAAACAAAAGCACACCCAATGATTTCCTGGACTTGAGACTGACACCTGAAATCTACAGCAGGAAGAAGGCCATGTGGAACTGAGCTTTTCACCAGTGACTTCTGATGCTAACTGTGGACAGTATCAGAATTGAGTTAAATGATTGGATACCTGCTGCTGTTGCAGAATTGCCTGTTTAAGGCAATCTCACACATCTGGTGTGAGAAGTACTACTAATTACTATTAATAGTAACACCAATGCCATTACTATTCATGATATTACTAAGTTATTATTGCTAATATTCAGACCCAATTGTGTCTGAAAATGTAGTAACATAGAAAAAGACAATTTTTCCATCATAACCCTCGAGGCAGGAGAAGGTGGGCA